AAAAAAAAAAAAAAAAAAAAAAAAAAAAAAAAAAAAAAACCAACAGGGTAGGAACCTAAATTCTGGGGCCCATCACAACGTCAGGTAAGATGGCTCCCAGGGAGACTGAGGGGATTTGGGGAAGGGGTGGGGTAGAAGGGGGACAAAGACGGGGCTTTTATTGGCCTTGATGTCTCACTGGGTCTCGTCTTCCACATCCTGCAGCGCTTCTTTACTCTGTTCTTCACCTGGGAAGGAAAATCAAAAGAGTCAGGTCACGGCTGGGGGAAGCAGGTTCCCTACCTTTAAGACATCTGCTGGTGGATCCAGGAACCTCCCACCGAGCAGGGCCAGTCCACTCCGCCCCGGATATGGCAGAGACAGATGTACAGCACAGTGGTGGTGGAGATAAAGAACTATCAAGGGAGCGACCCCCGAGAAGGGGTCTTTCTGCGTATGGCTGGGTGCAACTACAGTCACCTCCCTTCCACATGAAAAAGGACTTCCACAAGGAAATCAAGTGAGGACAAAGGAAGTCCTTTGACAGTTTTCAGTGTCAAAATCTCATCAGCAATACAATGTTAGTTCATCCTGCAAGCCTACTCCACTAACAGAAGGTTCTAGTTACGTTGCAACCCCAAATACAAGCAGCTGTGGCCAAAAGTGATTCAAGATCCGTTTGACCACAGATGTTTCCATGCTTCTCATTAATTTGGAGCCACCTGATCCAACTGAAGCATGCAACAGAAATGGACTGCCCCACTGCATTCTGCCACCAGCAAGCTGCGTCTGGCTCTCCACACACAAGCACAATCCCTAAAATCAAGAGAACACACATCTAATATTGCTTGACATGCAATGGCCACAGCAGAGAAGCTCAGCTTTCACAATGCCATAGTCCTATGGACACTTCAGGGATCGTTCTTGTGCCAGTAAAAGGGATGTGTACATGTCCAACTTGCTGGTTCATGGGGGTCAAGAAAGGCTAAATTCAGAGGAAACAAGCAGGCTAGGTTGTGCCTTTACAGTTATGGGATGCACTGAAAGGCCTGAGCACCTGTGGGGGTGTACAGTCAAGCATCCCACATGAGTATCAGATGCCAGATCTGATTGTACCCTTAGACCTTCACTGGGGGCAGGAGGGAGACAAGAGCTGGTGCATAGCCCTGGCATGAGTCAGAGATGCAAGCATGATGCAAGCATGATTAGTGAGTGACAAGGAGGAAAACAGATATTCCCCAGGGTCATCATGAAGACTTACAAAGTAGAGTATTAGAAAATGAACAGGTGGAGTTCCTTTTAAGAATCTACACAATGGAAAAGGAAGGGAAAAAAAATAGGAGTTAAGAAAAGGTAACTCATGAGCTTGACTATGATGTTTATCAAAAGCGTGAGACAGGGATGAACTTCAGCCCAAATCTACTTGCTGAACATTGAAACTGCAAGGCATCAGAAGACAGGAGAGCAGAGATATATGCAACCAGATACAGGGCCCCTGCATTTCAGACACACTGTCCTCTGCCCCTGGTCCCCCCACCATAGAACCTGAAGCCGCCACCCTTTCAGTGGACAGCACTTTCTGCAAACAGGACAGTAACCAAGAAACCAAAGTCTATCTCCTCAACCTGCCCCTGTAAATAAGCATTTACCAGCCAGCAAGATATAAACTGAGGAGGCAGATTATTCCTGCAGCCATTTCCCAAAGCAACAGGTTTGTATTGGGCAGCACAAACCAAGAACAGTAATACCTAAATGATCATTATGCAGCTTTTCCAGGTAAAGAAGTCTTGGACATAAGGACTAGCCAGGATTTGCAGTCTGAATCAGGGACCAGCTGACTGGATACTGTCTGACCACTGAAGTCAGCGGATGGCAACCTACCAAATCTGGAAACAGTGGATGCAGCCACTTATGGCCCAGCAGGAGACTACATGTGCAAAACTGCAGAGGCCGTCTACATTTCTGCTGCCAAGCAACACCGTTCTCTTCAGGCAAAAGCCATTAGCATTTCCTTCCAGAAGTCTGGTGAGCACCCCCTTTCTCTGTGTTGCTTTTGATAAGCCCCCCAATCTCCTTCCCAACCTGGGTTAAGAGGAAAAGACCAACTAGCCCAGCTATCTATCCAGCCTCCTGTTACTGGAGATGCTGTAGGGAAGCCGGGCTGGCAGGTGAAGAATAAGCTCTCCAGCCTCCGCCCAGCTCTCATTTCACTAAGACTGGGGAATGAATAAAACAAAAAGTGCACTCTGCAACAGGACAAAAAGAGCACATTTTAATTTTGAAGAACTACTGGGGTGAGAGATGGGACAAACTAGAACAGCATTAGCAAGGCAATGAGTACATCCTCTGAGATAGCCAATGATGCATTTACTGGGTAGAACAGGTTGTGCTGTTCAGTAGAAAGGAAAATTCTCTGCATGTTCTCAGACACACTAGCATTAAGTTTGCACTGTTAATACTCCTACCAGGAGGACAGAAACCTCCTTTCAATGATCCATGTGCTGATAGCCTGAAGGTGAGATTGCAATGCAGTCTTAGTCCAACAGGTCTTGAAGATGATGGACCCAGAATTAAGCTGCATCAATGATGAGTAGAATATCCAGGAGATGCTACATCACCTCTGGGTTGAACCAGCTACACTGGTTGCTAGTCGCTTTCCAACCCCCATTCAAGGGGCTCATTTTCAGTGTATAAAGCCTTATATACTTGAGGCCCAAATGAACTGCAGGACCACTGTATGGCCTACTTTGAACTCTTGGATCCTCAGTGGGGTACATTTTGTGGCTTTCACCACGGACACATTTAGCATAAACAGCAAGTTATGTTTTCTCTGTGACATGGTGGGGCCCATGCTGTGGAATCAGTTTCCACTGGAGAGGGCTTAAAACCTACTTTTTTAGAGTTTCAGACATTATACTGCTTTGTTTCAAAGCTGCCAAAGTGATACATGCTTTTACATTTTTATATGCAATATACATATTCTTGTAAACCCCCTCAAGCTATTGGAATGAACATCAGATAGATAGATAAACAAATAAATACAGCAATAAACCCTGCTTATTAAAGATGAATATGGGACCCAAGAGAATATGGGGGAAATAATTTCATATTGTCAGCTTCCTATCAGATCAAAACTCATAAACCTCAACCCTGTATACATGGAATACCATCCGGTACATTTGGTGAACATTACACCTTCCAAATACCTTATCTCAAAGTCAGTTTCAATTTTCAAATTACAAAACTTGCTTATTCACCCACCAGCTTTTCTTCTCCAAAGTGTTGTGAGTCCTATGCTTGTTTATTTATAACTGTGTCCCCTGCTATTCAGTGGGACCTTCTTGGAAGTAAACATGTTTAATTCTAACCTTTGCCTCATGACAGAGATCTTGCTTATTACTTTAAATGAATACAGAGCACCAAACAAAAATCTTTCTTTGAAACAGACATAATCCTGCAGTGCAGAAACTAGATGAGTTGCATATGATCCAGGACTATATATACAGTGGTACTTAAAAGTTTGTGAACCCTTTTGAATTTTCAATATTTGTGCATGAATACGACTTAAAATGTGATCTTTTCTCCACACAAGTCCTAAAACTAGATAAAGAGAGCCCAATTAAACAAATGAGTCAAACGCATTATACTTGCTCATTTCATTGAGGAAAATGATCCAAAGCTACATATTTGTGTCTGGCAAAAGTGTGTGAACCTCTAGGACTATCAGTTCATTGGAAGGGGAAATTAGAGAAATGTTTCAATCAATGGAATGATAATCAGGAGTAAGTGTGGGAGGTCCTGCCTTATTGAAACAGAATTCTGGGTATTCACTATCAAAGTCTGATCTTCACAACACAGGTATGTGGAAGTGTGTCATGGCTTGAACAAAGGAGATTTCTGAGGACTTCTGAAAAACAGTTGTTGATGCTCAGCAGGCTGGAAAAGGTTACAAAACTATTTCCAAAGAGTAGCATTCATTCATTCATTCTTTATTACTGATTAGCCATTAGGCCGTATCAAAATATATTTCCAAAGCGTTTGGACTCCACCATCCGCTGTCAGGCAGATTGTGTACAAATGGAGGCAATTCAGCAACACTGTTATCCTCCCCAGGAGCCGCTGACCAACCAAGATCACGCCAAGAGCAAGGCATCTAATATTCCAGGAGGTCTCCAAGAACCCCAGCGTAATGTTTAAGGAACTAAACGCCTCTCTTGCATTGATGAATGCCAGTGTTCATGTGACCACCATCAGGAGAACACTGAACAACAATGGTGTGCATGCCAGAGTTGCAAGGAGAAAGCCACTATTCTCCAAAAGGACATCGCCGCCTGTCTACAGTTTGTGAAAGACCATGTGGATAAGCTAGAGGCCATTGGAAGAATATTTTTGTGGACAGATGAGACCAAAACAGAAATGTTTGGCTTGAATGAAAAGTGTTATGTTTACTGAAAGGCAAACATTGGATTCCAGCATAAGAACCTTATTCCATCTGTGAAACGTGGTGGTGGCACTATCATGATCTGGGCCTGCTTTGCTGCCTCAGGGCCAGGACAGCTTGCCATCATTTATGGAACTATGAAGTCTGAATTGTACCAATAACTTCTGTAGAAAAATGTCAGGGTATCTATCTGTGAACTGAAATTCAAGAGAGAGTGGGTCATGCAGCAAGGCAATGACCCAAAACACACAAGCCATACAACCAAAGAATGGTTAAAGCAGAAGAAAGTTAATGTTTTGGAAAGGCCAAGTCAAAGTCCTGATCTTAAACCGACAGAAATGTTGTGGAAGGACCTGAAGTGGGCACTTCATGTGAGTAAACCCACCAACATCCCCGAGTTGAAGCTGTTCTATAAAGAGGATTGGGCTAAAATTCCTCCAAGCCAACGCGCAGGATAGATCAACAGTTATTGGAACGGTTGCAGTTCAGCTGCAGTTATTGCTGCCCAAGGAGGGTGGGGGGGGACATACACCAGTTCTTGAAAGTAAAGGTTCACACACATACAGAAATATGTAGCTTTGGATAATTTTCCTCAATGAATAAATAAAAAATATAATGTTTTGACTGATTTGTTTAACTTGGTTCTCTTTGTCTAGTTTTAGGACATGTGGAGAACAGATCATGTTTTAGGTCATATTTATGCAGAAATACTGAAAATTCAAAAGGATTCACAAACTTTTAAGCACCACTGTATACTATTCAACTGCCAAACAATGGTTTAATTATAGCAAAAATTTCAGCAATGCTTCCTTATTCAGGAGATAAATGCATTCCAAAGAGAGAAACCAGACTGGAAGGATTTAAAATCTTTTTATCTTTTAGATGCTCATATGGTGGCTGAAAATAATAATTTAGATTAATCCATTCTGTGGACATTTTCTTCTCAAGTAATAACACAGAACGGATTGCACATATAAGGTATGTTTTTGATGAGATGAAGCAAGTGCCACAGAGGGATCGATATAAAAGATACAATTCTCTGCAATAGAATGAAGTTTTGAAAATAACAGCAGAAACTAGACAAGTCTACCCTAACATTTCTGTGCAATGGCTCAAGATCCTTCCCAGACGTAAAACCTAAGACTGGCCTGTGTTCTGTAGAATGCTTTTTTGAGTTTCTTCCTATATTCCCTATCCTTTTCATAAAAAACAAAGCAGTTTGCAGAATCCACCCAAAAGCAATTTATTGGCTTCTAGATACTTGGCTAAAGTCACTGTGTGAACCTTAGTAATAACCCCGTGGATAAGGACAGCTTAAGGTGCAAGCAAGGAGAGGGGGTTGATGTGTTCAAGCCCTGATAGCTCCTATATGTACGCTGAAGGGGGTACCTCTTCCCATCTGTGAACTGCATGCCACACTATACAGCTATAAAAGGACTCTCTGGGGCTGGTTATTCTGCCAGAGAAGATGACCCCACAGAGGAAAGAATAGAGTTCTTTTATTCCACTCTCACTTCAGAAAATATCTCCCTATCCAGCCCCTAAGCATTCCTAGTTCCAAGCTGCCTAGGCTTATGCAGAGGGATATGTTCATATTCAATTATAGTTTGACCTGAGGCCACAGGGAAGGCTGGACCTAACTGGGCTACTCACCATCACCCTGCATGTCTGAAGTCCATAGTGTCAGATTATCACGTAACAACTGCATGATAAGTGTAGAATCCTTATAACTTTCTTCGCTCAGCGTATCCAGTTCTGCAATTGCGTCATCAAAAGCGGCTTTTGCCAACCTACAACCAGAGGATGACTACAGTAGCAAAGCACGTCAAAGGAGCAGCTCTAATAAAACCTCAAGCCTGGCAATAAAGATCCCCACCCGTGTCTCTTACTGCTGCAACAGCCTCCCTTTTCAGGAGCTGGCTTGATCTCCTGCCAGTGCCTACAGATGCAACCTTTTGGGGAATTCTGAAACTTTCTGTTCTTCCTCTGGTGGTATTCCAGACCAATCCAAGGACAGCCTTGGTCTGGAGTTCCCCAAAACTGTGGGATGGAGGGCTCTAATGTACGCTGCTTCCTAGTAACTCCAGCTTCTTTTATTACTCTGTGTGGCTTACTTACCTGCAGGCACGGTCAGGAGAATTAAGAATTTCATAGTAGAAAACAGAGAAGTTGAGGGCAAGTCCTAAGCGGATGGGATGTGTTGGAGGAAGTTCTGTCATTGCAATATCACTAGCAGCTTTATAAGCCACCAAGCTGTTCTCGGCAGCTTCCTTTCGGTCATTTCCTGTGGCGAACTCAGCAAGATACCTGTGGTAGTCCCCTTTCCTGGATAAGGAAGGAAAAAGCAATCGCCAGTAAGTCAAGGTCTTGAGTGTGCAAGAAGACTTACTGCTGAAGTAGATTTCAATCTCTTTGCAGTGCTGTTATTTCTAACTCATGGGATAAATGGTTGAATTTTAATATTTTAAACATAACCTCATTATTTCATTTCTATTTTATTGAGAACCATTCCCAAGTGTTATTTCTGATGGAAAGAAAAGATATAAAGAGGATAAATCCTATTTTTACTTCTTAGGAATGTTGTAAATGTTTTTACCTTAAAGGAGTACTGATCTTAATATCCTGACACTACGCTTCAGATTCCTTCAATTAAACAATACCATCTATTGGGACCGCAGAAGCACACTTTCTCTGTAGCAGTGCCTGCCCTCTGGAATGAGGTTCCCCCTGCGATTTGAACAGCCCCCGCCCTACTGGTGTTTCAAAGGTCCCTGAAGACCTGGCTTTTTGCCCAGGCCTTTGGCGAATGTGGTTGAAGCTCCCTTTTCTTCTTCTTTTTCTATCCAGGTTTGTTATCTCTGCCATTTTGTTCCTTTTTGTTTTATGTTGTTTTCTTGTTTTTAACGAAGTGTTAAGAATCTAAAGAGTCACTTGGAGTTGGGTGGCACATTAATTTAATACATTATTATTACTGTTATTGTTAACTGGCTACATTTGCATGGCACAATAACCCAGGATTCCCATGAATCATGGTTTGCCAAGAATGAAGTCAAGCTTGCACATATGATTACTGCACTCTCCCTTGATTCCCCTCCCAGCAACTAAATATTGCATTGTGATAAAAATAAATGAAGCAGAAGTGGGAGGGGAAGTAGGGCAAGTCCGTCTGTCAGTTGAAAGACCAAATTGCATTTTTTTCACGACTGACTGACATAAACTTTATATAATAAATAAACCTGCTTAAACCTGTTTGCCCAAAGTGAACATCTTAGCTCATTTCTCTCTATGTAAGCAAAAACAGAAACCAGGACTTGGGTTCAATTCATCTTGAATTGAAAAGGAAGCCCAAGCTTATACAATTTATTACATTAATGAGAAGAACCAAGCAAGCTGTACATTCATGATGACACAAGGACAGATTCCCCAAATCTTGGCTTATTCTTCTGTGCAAACCCTATCACTGAGTTAAAAGGCTTTTCTGCATAAAAAGAACCAATCCAATCACTTCTCAAAATAGGAATATTTATACTGTTCCTACTAAATACATATTTCATCTTCACCAGATGAAAATAAATCACTCAAGCGGATCCAGCAACTATCAGACTTTGCTTCAAGCCACTAATCATGATAATTTCCTATCTGTTTCCCTCTTTCTTTCTGTGAGGGTAGAGGTGGCCAAGCCAGAATAAAACAGATTTAACACTGGAAAGGGAAAAAATGACAAACTTATCCAAGGCCTAAGCTCTTCTAACTGTGTCTGCAAGAACCCTATATATTGAAATACTTTTCTAATTTTAACTAATGTGTGATCAGATTTGCAAGAGTTAGGAAAACTTAGCTCAACTGTTTCATATTCAAATACTTGATTAAAATTGATGTAAATAGCCCACCCTACTAGTTTAAGACTGCAATATTATCAAATACAGAGTACTTATATACACAACTATCTTAATTACTGCTTCCCTCCATAAAACCCTTTATAATCCACCTAATCAATATGGGGCTGTGATTAAAAAGTTCCTAAAAGCCAAGTCAGGCAGACTCATTTCAGCCTCTTTGAAGGCTAAAATAAGAGCAACACATGAAGGGCTGGAAAGATAGAGTGAACCTTAAAAGCCTTTAAAATATATTGGTGGTGGGGGGAAGAATGCATTTATGAGTTAACTGGGTTATATGGGCTGAAAAACTTAGATATGTGATACAAAAATGCAAGAACTGTTAATTATTCTTTATCCTTTGTTTCTCCCTCCTGCTTGTCTTCCTGCCTAGCCAGGTGGAAGCTCTGCCCATTTTCTTCACGCATAAACTGGCTTCCCTACCACCAGGCTGTTCCATGTCTCTATCCACGTAGAAAAAGACTAGTTTCTATCATTCAGACTTGTTTCTTATGATGGAGAGGATTTCCACAAATAAGAAGCATTGTTAAGGCACATTCCCTTTCACACACTGTGCCTGCAATCTGGTACCTACATTTTATAATAGAAAACCTTCGATTCACCAGTGTTGGCAGCTGGAATGAGGTGTTTGTCCAGTACATCCAGAATATCACAACAGATTAGTTTCAATTCAGTCTCAACCTTGGAGGAGAAAAAAGAAAGAAAGCTGATTTCAGAGATCCTATGTTTAATCAAAGCATTTAAATCTGAATTCAGCCAATAATGTATTAGCAGGAGGAAAACAACCATCCTCGCCCTCTAGTCAAATTATGACCAATACTTTCAGAAGGCAGCGTTGGAAAAGGATTTGCCCCATACGGCTGGCTGAGTTACAGCTGGTAGCTCCAGCATTATGTAGCTGACCTGAACAACCACCCCCAGCAGTACCTACAGGAGAAGTTGGGAAACTAGATTGGGATATCTATCCTTCCATTATCTTTGACCTGCTGCTGTTACACTCCATTCTTGACCCAAATGGAAAACAGGGGTGCTTCTTGACCAACTGGTTCTGTCTTAGAGCACCAAAGCCAGGGCACTGAAAAAGCAATGATTGGGTTTATTCCTGGGTACAAGTTTCACCAGATGGCTGATTGATCCCAACATGTAAAGGTGCCACAAACTCATCAGGTTTTCCCGGCTGTTCTGAAATGCATCACTCCCTTACCCCAAGCTCCTTGAGCAAAGGAGCAGAGCAGCCTGATATGAGGCAGCTCTGTAGAGAGAGATCTAGCCTGATCCTGTGAGGGATTGCCCATCACAGTACCACATCAGCCTGGGTATATTACAACCAAATAAATCCAGTTGTTGTAACTAATTTGCCTAATCTTTTTCTATTAGGAACTGAAGATATTCAAAACTTGTAAATATCTGGAAAGCCTTTGAGGAGGATGCACATCCACACTGTTCGTCAGTGCAAGCGATCAAGGCACACAGAAAACTATACGGCTCTATTGCCCTAACATAGACATCTGCTTTCCTTTCACAGAAAGAAATCTCAGATTTTGCCTCAAAATCAAGTCCAGGGAGTGCACCACCTGACTCCGAAGTCCATGAGGCCCTGGCTCTAACCCTACAAAGGCAAAGACAGACACACACACACACACTTGAATGACCTCTGCAAAGCCAAAGGAATAATAACACCCTCCTATGCAAACCAATCGCCCTAGGCTGAACAGCATCAACGTGGAAAGCTCATTATTTAGGATAATTAGAAAAGGACTTGAAAACACTGCCAATATTATTAGTGTCCAGATTAAGGTTTAAATCACACACCTTAAAAAAAATATTCAGATATATTTACAGGGTTCAACAGTTTCTCATTAGCTGAAATCACCATGTTTGGAGGCATTCTTGCTGAAAACAAGGACGGAGGACAGTCAAGGAAGCAGAGAACAACAGGTATTATGTCCCGTTGAGTTTTGAGTTTCCTGGAATCATTTATCCACCCTCTGCCCCAAAGCAAGAAGTGATAATAATAGGCCATTTTGGCTAGATCCAACAAGTGGGGTGCAATTGTTGCCTTCAGTGCCATATAACATAAATGGTCTTCAGGGTTAGGGAGCTTAAGTCCCTTTCACACATTCTGTGTCTGCAATCTGGTACCTACATTTTGTAATAGAAAATCTTTGATTCACCAGTGTTGGCTGCTGCTGGAATGAGGTGTTTGCCCAGTATGTCCAGAATATCACAATAGATTAGTTTCAATTCTAATTGACAGAGCAACATGTACAAAGAATTTGCCTATGGCATGAGAAATTATATACCTCTTCCTAAGTATCTCAAGTTTCTATTTAAGGCTACCAAAATTTCACGTTTTGAAAATCTGCATTACAACAGTGAAGACATCCCATTTCCTGAATCTATTTTAGGAATCTAGGAGTGCCCCCTTCCTCAAGGGACAAGGGTCACCTCTCCTAAGCCAACCCAATATCTGAGTGGAACTTAAATTCCATTTATAAACAAGCAAGACCTATAACATGTCACACTATGATATGCTCTTATTCCATCTCTGTCCCATCCTCAACAGCTATTCCATAGCCAGTAAACATGCTCAAGTAAACTGAACAATTCAGTTTCAGCTACACACAGAGCCACGCTCAAAGAACTGAAGTCTCTAGGAAGGAGTGTATCTTTCGGCAACTCAACACAATTTATTAGACCACTGAAAAGAAGATGCATGCTTGAGAGACAGTCAGAAGTTTCCAGACAGATTCTACAGCTCCTGTCCATAGCAATCCATTCCTATCTCCAGAAACAGAGCCAGCCCTCCCTCCCTCCCTCTGTTGGGCTAAAGTGAGAAAAGAAGAGCTGCACTGGAATGCCACAAGAACTACAAAGGCTGTGGTACACATACCCAATAGTGGATGAAAAAGGTATAAAAAGGCACCTGCAGCTTCATGCTACCCAGATGTCACTGCTATACAAACCTTGCAAAACAAAACAATTCAAGCATGATTTGGGGGAATGAGGAGATACAACAACAGCAGCACTCACCATTTGCCGATACTCCCGGATCATCTTCAATTTGTCTTCCCCACCTTTGTTCTCTTCCTTCTGCTCGATGCTACTGATTATTCTCCAGGAGGCTCTTCTGGCACCAATCACATTTTTATATGCAACAGACAGCAAGTTTCTTTCCTCGACTGTCAGCTCCACATCCATTCCAGCCACTTTCTTCATTGATTCAACCATTTCTAAAATATATACACACAATACACACACACATACATATATATATATATACACACACACACACACACACACACACACAGATACATACACACATGTCAGGCCTCTAGTGCCAAACACGAGAATAAACTTGTCATCCATTAAAAATGAAACCAATACTGACAGCTCAAAACCAGAAACTTATCCTACACAACACATGTAGGATACATGACACAAAGAGCAGGCCTTTCTATAGCAAATGTAAACATATGCAGCAAAACACTTTATGACATAGGCTGACTGAGTGCTAACCGAAGCCTTCTGATGCTACATTCAAGACATCAAGATCAGCAATGCTATGCTAAGTAGCCCTGAAAGCAAAGCTGCAGCAGTGGCAATTGGAGTGATGAATGACTGAGATTCCAAGTGCTGCCAGCTCCATGGATTGCTTCTACTTCAAACAAATTCTTGCAATCGCCCGCACACCCGCTCCCCTCCTCTCTGCTATAGCATGAAGAAAGGAAATTAACATACGCTACAGGAAACTATGGAGGATATGAAAGGGAGCATCCCAACACAAGGGGTGGATGTGTAATTGCTTAGCAAATAAAGTTAGGACATGCTTGGATTCACTTAAAGCCACAAGTACTTTATTTCACCTGCCCATTCCATTAGTGATGTGCCCCCTGTGATAGTGATAGCTTTGATGCTTATTCAAGAGGACCAGTCAAGATGATCACGTGCCTGTGCTTTCTAGCTATACTACGTCCCATATTCTTTTGGGGCACGAATCAAGTCAATACCTTTAAATTATCATTATTAGATTTTTATCTCCCCTTTTTCATATTTAACTCAAGGCAGTGAAAATACCTAATACATAACAACAACGCGGCCTGGAGGAGACCTGGCTTGGCAGTAGGACATGTGAAAGTGATCTGGGTGTCCTTATCCACCACAAGTTAAATATCAGCCAGCAATGCGATGCTTTCTTGGGATGCATAAACTAAAGCAGACTCCGGATTATGGGAAGTAACTGTTCCCCTCTACTCTGCCCTGGACGGACCCTATCTGGGGTCCTGGATCCAGCTCTAGGAACCATAGTTCAAAAAGGATACAGAGTGAGTTTGGAGAATGGCAGCCAAGATAGTGAATGGCCGGAAGATCAAGGCCCATGAGGAACAGTTAAAAAATCTGTTTAAGAAACAGTTGAAAAGTTCTTCTTCTACAGAAGAGACAACTGAGGGGGAGACACAATAGCAGTTGTGACTCCACACAGAAGAAGTGAAGTGATTCTTTATTGCCTCAGAGGACAGGACCAGAACCAATGGGTCAGGCTGGATGTCAGGAGGAACTTCTGGACTGTATGAGCTGTCAGCCAGGGGAACAGGCTGCCACATGAAGTGGCAAGTACTCCTTCAGTGGATGTCTTCAGAGGCTGACTGGTCATCTGCCAATGATGCTTTAGTGGATCTTGTGCTGAGCAAGGGGCTGGACTCGATGCCTTTAAGGTCTTTTACAACTCCAGGACTATGATCTTCTCTTATATGCACCTGCCTGGATCCCTAAATAATTTCAGGCATCTCTGCCAAAATGTTGATACTTTCCACCGTGACACGCCATTTATGGTATGCCCTCTTCTAGGAACCTAACCCAGCACTGAATGTTTCAGCATCAGGCAAAGCTATTTCACATCTCCCATGTACTGCAGAATTTAAGAAGATAACGCCTTCTGGTGTCTACAGGGCCACTTTAACATTTGAGTGAGCAATGATGCAAAGTACACAGGCTCAGGGTTGTGAGCAGAATCCTGATTTTCCATTGAAATATGTTTTTTCAAAATACTTAATTAAGCCTATTTTAGAGCTTAAATGACAACTTGTCAATATTTTTAGATGGGAAGCACATGCAAACTACAGCAACGCTATTTAGGGGTTCCATAATCCATAAAGGATTCTGACCCATTCCTGGTTAAGGTCCAACATATTGGAATGACTATTCTTAATTTCATACTGCATTCCTGTGCTTATGATTAGTATTGCTGATTTTATTACATTATTCTTTTTTAGGTTCATGCCCAAAGAGTGTTCGCTATTGGATGGACTAGAGATACCCTTAAAGTATTTGAGGTGAGTGGCCAGTAGCACAAGGATCTGAGGTACAGGAGTTACACTGATCTTTTGCTTGTTTCCACGTCCCATGTGAAGTGGTGGTGATTCCCAAAATGAGTGTTATTCCCATACGAACCTATATCCTCCCAGGCAGGTTGCTGGCCTGCTCACTGACCGACTTTTGCTGACATACACTCTTAACAAAAATAAGCAACAGGAATTTGGTCTGTCAAACTGGTCGGTCTCCTGTTCTTGCTTTCTGTACAAGGTTGTTAGGCTTTTTCCTGCTTTCTCAGATCTGATCTGCTAGGCAGAGAAACCCCCAGCCAGATACGTGCCGGGGGACAGCAACGAAAGTCTGAGAAGGGTCAGCACACTACTGATTCTGCATGGTTTGTCTATTTTGAGAAAGAGAAACACGTTACGAGACGTGGTGCAGGAGCATCGTGAGGGAGACTGAAAGGAAGGGGCCAGAGGAAAGCAGCGAAGAGGGGCAGGAGAACGCAGGCGGCGACCAGCCAAGGTGCCCAGGTCTGCCTCGGGCACAGCCTGGGGCCAGCCCCAGCAATTCGGGCGCCTTGACCTACCCCGAGCGTCCGGGCTCGGGCCCTCGGCCCACAATCCAGGGCATCCGCCCCGAGCCCCGGCGCCGCTCCGTCTTCGCGCTGCGATCCGCCCCGAG